AAGCAGATCCACAGATAACCTAGATGTTGATTAGCAGATAAGGACTTTAAAGTAATTACAATAAAACTTTTAAATGACCTAGTAATAAAAAATTGGAGAATATAAATGAAATGATGGGGAATCTTAGCAGAGAAAGAAAAACAAAAAGAGAAAAACAAGAATTTTTAGAATTGAAAGATACAATGTCAGAAGTGGATTCTGTGGGCTTATGAATGAAGAGAACTAACAGAACAAAAGAAGGAAGCCATGAACTTGGAAAAAGTCATCTCAATAGAAATATCCAAATTAAAAGACCAAACACAAAAAAACCCCAAACTAAATACAGAATCTGAACATTTGGGACAATATATATTTAGTTCAACATAATTGGGATTTTAGAAAGAAAAAAAGAGAGAACAAAGCAAAGAAAATATCTAAAGAATGTCCAAGAATTTTCCAAAATGATAAAAGGCCCATAAAACTCTATTATCCTTCAAAAGGGATAAATGCAAAATAAACTCTACCTACACACATCACAGTCTATTGAAAACTAAACATAAAATGAAAATCTTAAGCACAAACAGAGGAAAAAGACACATTATATTTAGGTGGCTAACAGTAAGATGAAGACTAGCTTCTCAACAGGAACAACAGAAAGAAGAAGACAAAGATATCCTAAAACTACAGAAACAAAGAAAATTCTTGACATAAAGTTCTGTATCTGGCAAAATATCCTTCAAAAACCAAGGTGAAATAAAGACATTTTAAGAAAGGCAGGCCAAGTTAATTTGTCACCATCAGTGCTAAGCGACATGAAATGGTAAAAGTGAGTTGCTTAGGCTGCAGGGAATAGGTATCAGAGAGCATCCCAGACGAGCAGGAAGGAATAAACAGTGCCAAAGCAGATAAGTACATAAACATAGAAGACCATCTTATCTGTACGCAAGCGCGCACACGCGCGCACACACACATTTCTTTTAAAAGATTAATATTGTTTAAAGTAGAAATAACAAATATTTGGGGTTAAAAATATATGTACAAGTGAGATATAAGACAAGGACCACAGGGTGGGAAGGGTGTAAATACAATTATACGTATGAAAGTTTATTACATTATTCACGAATAAATATAGTATTATTTGAAGACACCGTCATGTTACTGGTGCATGTTGTAATCTCTAAACTAAGCAGTAAACAAAATAAAGCAAAAAAAAAAGTCAATAAAGGAGGTACAATGTAATACTCAAAACACTTGAATTCTTAACCCAAAGGAAGTACAATAAATCTCATTAGGATAAAAAGAAATACACATATAAACATATTAGAATAAAAGATATCTTAAAAAGCAGCTAGCTCAAAACAGATTTATTTCAAAGGTCTGATAAACCAACAGATGAATTTTCAACAGCATCAGTAGTAGAAGACAGTGAATGCTTTTCAATGTTTTAAAAGGAAAGAACTGTCAACCAAGATTTCTATGCACAGTGAAAAATTTCATGAATATTTCGTATAAAGAAAACTAAGAATTTTCCGCCAGCAGACCCTCACTAAAGCAAACAAGCAGAATAAAAACATTAACTGTAAAGAATGTTTTCAAACAGAAGAAATTTATGCCAGTAGAACTAAAGAGATTCGGGAAGGAATAAAAAAAAGAGATCTTCTTCTAATCAGGCCAAATGCCTAAGAACAAACCAAAAATCCAATTATCTGCATAAAATAAACTTTTCCAAGAGTTGGTAGTGATGACTACACTCAAAATTGCTTCAGAAAACAAAAAGGCTCATTAGTCATTTCTGCTGTCCCCGACTGGCCATTCAGAGACCAGTTACAGAGCATAAGGTAAGGAAAACATGCGGCACCCTGAATGAATCCCGGATCAGGAAATTCCCACATAAAACATACAAATGTGTTCAAGACTGACTGAAGCAAAACTGTAAAATAGGTTAAAGTAGGAGAAAGCTCAAAAAATTTAACTTTATTTCTCCCTCTTTCTAGAGTCTCTCTCCACCATCATGTCCAAATGTTATGACACTTAATTAGAAACAGATAATGTCCGCACTGAAAATTTATGGTATAGTAGTAATACTTCAAAAGGTGGCTGTGAGGATTATGTTAGACAGCCTATGTCAAGTGCTTAACAAAGGGCTGGGCATTTAATTACTTGCCAAATACACTGTTTCATTTTGAAAAATTAAGTTTAAAAAGCAAAGAAATGGTTACCACAGAATATAGGGTTCCTTTTCTCTGGGAGATGGTGGGATGAGATTAAGGAAGGGCACCTGGGCTTCAAAGGTACAAGTAATTTCTATTGCTTAACCCAGATAGAGGATACACTGGGGTTTACATATCAATGCTCCCTAAATTATACATATACATTATATACATTCCTTTGCTTGCATAAAGTATCATTTTTAAAATTTTTAACGAATCAATACATAAAATCTCTCTAGTTTCAGTGTCCTAAATACTGTTTCTGGAACATGCCTCAGGATGTATGTGTTTGCCATTCCTTTTATGTAGAATGCTCTTTCTCCAGGTATCTACTTGGCTGTCTCTAATCTACTAGACATTCCTCAAATACTACCTTTTAGAGTGGCATTCCGTAACCGACTTATTCCCTGTTCCTTACTTCTACCGCTCTGTCCTCTTAAACAGTTTGAGTTTGCCTCTGAGCACATAAATCAGAAACGTTACTCAAATGTTGACATATTTTATTTAATATTGAAAAAATCGTATTTGTTAATAACCTCTCCAATTTTATCAGAAAAGTCTTTAAGTATTAGATTTTGTCAACTTCACAGTGGTAGACATTCTCATTTTCACTTGAAAGCTGAACTTTTAACACCAGCAACAAATAGTTATTTTCCTTGAGACGACAGGCTCACTTCACTCATTTTTGAGAAAATGTTTGAATACTCTCTGAATAACCATAGTTTGTCCGCCAGTTGCTCTTTCGAGTAAAAATGGTATTCCATGAAAAAAGTGGCTAGGTGCGCTCACAAATCAAACAATTGCACACATGCTTTTCCTCAAGGCAACCAACCATCATACTTCAGTACACAGCAGAAGTGCTTTCTCTGAATTTCCCATTTCATCACACTGAATATTAAAAAGATGTGTACTCAGGGGTCAAGATTTAATAAAATTAATAACTTTTACTGTTTCATCAAGGATATCCTTAAGTAAAGATGGCAATTTTTTACTATGAGTACATTGCAGAGGAAAACAGTGTCACTGGTGTCACTGTCCTGATTCATGCAAAACAGGCGGCAATCTGTTGCTTTTACACCATCAGTGCAAATGTCATCAGTGTGAAAGGCAATCTGCATCTTGGTATTATGTTTTGACGTCACAGACCCATTGAATGGGTCTTGGGGTTCCCAGGGGTTTGCAGACCATACCTTGGAAATGCTGTAGTATTCAAACAGTATTTTCCCTAAGGGTGATTTTTAACTATTTCCACTTCTCTAATTTAATATATGGGCTCTCTTCCATAAAAGTTTCTAAACACACACACACACACACATGCACACACAGTGAAAAAAAAGTAAGAGCTAAAAAAAGACTCACCCGAAATTTGTTCATTTTCTCCTGCTATTGGGAAAGTATAGAAACTATGAAGCCAGAACAGGGAAAGACGGAGGACAGAAGTCATAAGAGACCTTATCTTGCAGCTCAGGAATCACCTGGGAGAAATTTACATACAACATTTTAGTAAAAGATAAACCTCTGGGAAAATGTCCCTTTGAGTCTTGAGAAGAAATAGGAAGGACCATGATAAGATAAGGGAGTACCCACCTGTCCACTGGTGACTCTGATATAATCTTGATGAAACTGGGACATTTTTGAGTGAACATAAGCATTTCTTTCCTATTGGCTGTTTTGAAAATTATGTGTCCATTTACTAAATAACACAAAAAAGTTGAAAACTTAAATGGCAAATAATATATACCCAAAGTGTGGAACTCTATGCTGGCAAGTGATGTTGAAGAGAAATATCTATTGATATGGAAAAGTTTTCAAGTTACATGTTATAACGATTTATTCTATTATTATAAACCCCACAAGGTTATGAAGTCTTCAGAGCTGTCAAAAATAAGATGTTTCTTCTCCCTAAATTTCAGTTTTTTCAAAGTCACTTCTCCAAGAACCTTGTTTTGACTAAAATATGGTATAGTAGACCAGGAGACCAATTCTATGCTAAGCCCTGCTACTAACAAACTTGGTGACTGTCTTAGTTTCAACGCTATTATCTTTAACATGAAAAGGAATTAGGGAATTTCGAACAATCATGTACAATTCTGATTCTATAGGGCTTCAATTCAGCACCACAAATCCAACAGTACCCTGGAATTCACTGTCCTCTCCTAGGGCAAAATTTAATTAGGCTTTGATGAATTCTGACTTGGCCATCTAATCTGTTGACAATGACACAAATCTAACTTCTAAAATAGCTATTCAGCACCATTATCCCAAAACAGGCACTTCATGTACAGAGCAAAAGGTAACTAGATGCCATAATGCCTAGGTCCTTCTCATACACAGAAGAAACCACTTCCAGTGCTGCCCTGATGCTTACAAAATGCCCACTTAATTTGCCGAGATACACCAGCCAATAAGGCATTATGTATGACATCACTTTCATAACATGGAGCACAGATGAAACAGCAGTTTTCTGTTTTAAAAGAGTCTGTCCCGTTTCTTCTCTCTAGAAACTAGTCTCTGGCCTGAATAAGATGCTCAGCTTCTCCAGTAAAACTTAAAATTCAGCGTTTCAACTATGGTTTAAATTTACATGTTTAACAATCGTCTGAGAATAGAAAAGGTTAGAGAACACAGGAAGGGCTTTAATTAACTTAACCTTTTACCCAGGAGTTCTGAGGAAGCCTCAAGAATATTTGGAAATAGAATACTACATGGTAAGATTAGGTCCGGTGGTGTTCAAGAGACAATCACTGCACTAAATACAACTGAAGACTGTGGATTTTAGGGTGGGAAACAGCATGAACTATAGAGCAAAACAAGTGAGAGTTGAATCCCACCTGCTAATTCAAGGCAAGCTAATTTCTCTTTGAACCTTTAGTATTCGTATTTATTAAAATGGAGGTGGTTAATACCGATTCAAGGGATGGTTACGATGATTAAGATGATTAAATGAGCCAATAATGAAAAGAACAGCATACCTTGTAATGATAAAAGCAGCTCACCTTTATTGAGTCCTTAACATGCTTTGTATAAACACTACCCTATTCAATACAAAAAGCGACCCTAACGGTTATTATAATTATACAGATGAGTATCCGAGTCGTACCGAGGTTAACCGGCCCATTTACTGGCGGGCGCTGGAGCAGAGCCCAGGTCCCCCAGGCTTGACAACGCCACGTCTCCCGCAGCCCGCGCCGCCGCCACGCCAGCCCGGACGTGACGGGCTTGG